GGGGGCGTCGCCCAATTACTCCCCTGTTGCTACGTGCCTGTTGAAAGAATGACAATGGCATGTTGACGAACGAAGTCATCCAAATTGGGAACTTTCGACCCATTAATGGTCTGTAATATTAATAATTAAAAAGGCTATTTGGTGAAAGCTGGGAAAATAAATGTCATTTTGTTCTAAACCGCCATATTTAAATTCATATTTCCTAATTTGGCCTGTAAAAAACAATATTTCCGATTGGCCCCAAACAGTCATCGCCTACCAGTTTCATTCTGAGTTTTAAACGGCGGAAAATGATATTTATTAAGTTATAGATTGAATGTGTTTGATGGGATATATTTGACCACAGGATTAAAACTCTGTTGTTCTCTTCATTCGGCCATGGGTAAGTTAGGCATATCGTCTTCGATGAAAGCTTTTTTTGTCACCTGGCTAAAAAGATATTATCGACAATTGACTGCTAGCTAGAAACTTGAGCTTTTGACTAACTTTTGATACAATGATAGTCTTCTATGGTCAGATTGGGACAAGAACATACCAAACTGTCGTGTCCAACTAGCCAGTAGATTGCCTGGTGCAATGACAGTTTTCTGTGGTCAGAATGAGACTAGAGCATACCAAACTATGGTGTCTAAGTAGCTAGAAGTTTGTTTTGTACTATGACAGTTTTCTGTGATCAGAATGAGTCTAGAACATACCAAACTATCATGTCTAACAAGCTAGTAGATTGCCTGGTACAATGACAGTGTTCTGTGATCAGAATGGGACAAGAACATACCAAAGTATCGTGTCCAAGTAGCCAGTAGATTGCCTGGTGCAATGACAGTTTTCTGTGATCAGAATGGGACTAGGGCAAACCAAACTATCATGTCTAACAAGCTAGTAGATTGTTAGGTACAATGATAGTTTTCTGTTGTTAGAATGACACTAGAACATACCAAACTATCGTGTCTAACTAGCTAGCAGATTGTTTGGTACAATTGTAGTTTTCTGTGACAAGAATGGGACTAGAGTATACCAAACTATCGTGTCCATCTAGCTAGTAGATTGCCAGGTACAATGACAGTATACTGTGGTTTCAAGGTCAGGGGTAGTTAGATTTCTTTCTGATTCCAAACATCATACGGTTATCTGAAATTAAGCTCTATATTTTGAAGCCAGTTTTTTTTTTATCACAATGTTTGTTTTTCAGAATTTGATTGTTTATTTTGGAGTTATTGTTTGGGATCGACATCAGTTATATTTTTACTCTGTGTTGTGATAGAATGTATTTTATTGTAAGTAGCCTATATCAGGTCCGTAGCTAGCCCAGGTCTCACGGGGTGCGGGGGGGAGCAAATTTTTTGAAGGGGGCTCAACTATAGCGACTCAACAAGTCATTTCAGTCATCTAAAGTTTTCAGGGGGGGGGGGGCGGGGGAGCAATTTTCTTAGGGGGGACACTGCTTTAACCCTGTGCCAGTGCCTTCTGTTGAATAGTAACTTGTCTCTAATAGTTACAGATGCTTTGAATTTTCTTAGTACATTTGCAAGATTTTGAGCTCCATTACTAAAACAATCATGGCGCAATATACAACTCTTTTCGATCGAATAAATTATGATAAAATGCGTAAAATTATGGTAGAAATGAAAGAATCAAGACAAGATAGATACGTTATTTTACCTACTGGTAGACTACTGACTGTGTCCTATTTTTTACGACCCACTGCACGGAAGAAAAGTAGGCCCAGGCAGTTTCAAAAGTCCCTTTTCAAAATTAATTTCATTTTAATTTTATTTTTCAGAATTCGTAGTCGAAGAAAAATCTCGAAGATAAAGTCAGCATATAAAAAGTTAAAATCAAATATCGTATCAGCTCCACGTGAAATAGAGGCGAAACGACGCGAGTTGGACGCTCTAAAAATCTCGCGCAGACAAGGGACACCACTCCCAATTCCCGAGGGAGATAACATAGAAAATCCTTACGATACAATCAAGCCAAAGGAGAAAACCATGAAACCAAAGGACAACACATTGCTCGCTGCTAGGGATTCTGTAGGCGACATATTAAAAGAGAAACTCAAGCGAAAACGCAGGAATAAAGTCACGTTCAGTTCGGAACAGTACGAAGTTATTCCACATTCTGTAGAACAAATTACTTCCAAGAAACTCGAGGAACGATCGCATTCCATGTCGCATATTTTAGAAGAACTTCCGGCTGCAAGACAGCCACCATCCAGTTCGAAATACGAGTTGACGTACATGACTATGCATAGAAGACAAAAATCCAAATCAGAAGTGAATCTCGATCAAGCTGGGAAATCAAAAAAGAGGCACGGCTATCCAAAATGTGAGAAGCCTCCAGAGCTTCCTCGTGGCAGTAATTTTACTCATTTGAACTCTCATATTGAAAGGGAAACGGAGATCAACTCAAAAAAAATTGAAAGTCTTATAACGCCACCAGTGTCTTCAAATAGTCAAAACCATCAAACGGAGACCCAATATAACCATCTTGACAAGGTAGCGACTGATGATGTAATTGTGAACATGGATTGTGAAGATGATTATGACGAAGATGAAATGTATGATAAAGAACTTGAGAAATATATAGAAAACGTGCAGCAAGAAACGTCGGAACCTAAAAGCAACATAGAACCAATTCTTCCAAATAATATGAGCTTAAATTCTGAATCCCAACTTTTGGATGCCGAGAAGAGCACTGATTATGTAGCAAATGACTCCAGCCACGATGAGACATTAGGGGAATCGTACGACTTTCTTCCAGTTCCGAGACCGTTAACAATCATTTCCAGTTCCGACAACGAACTCGTTCCACCTACGCCGCACTGCGATTGCGAGGGTATATTCAATAGCCCATCACCAACGCCATCGAGTAAGAGTAACATTTCCGAAACGGAATAGATTTACTAAATATTTTGTAGCCTCTATCATCCAGTCCAACTTTGTCTACGTACAATTTCGCCCCAAATACCCTCGTCGTAGACAAGAGACGTCTGGATATCAGAGACTAAATATTTAGGTAAAGATCCATAAAATTGCTTCCCCTATCATCCAGCCGTGACCTAAACATGTTTTGTTAAACTGTATCTCGGTTGACCTGTAAATTGTTGAAACGTTGTGTAAAATTAAACCCCTAATTATTTCTAAATATTATAAAAGAATATATTAGTGTAATATTTTATATTGAGAAGTCGTTCTTTCAATTAAAAATTATTTTCCTTCTTCCTTCGTTTCACAATACTTTAAAGAGGCATGTTTCGTTTTACAGTACTTCCTCTTGTGGGGGTTTCGTTAGAATATTTACCAGTAACTTTTTCGACACTAATTCACCTCTGAACTCTCTGCATTATGTATATGCCCAATTCCAATTTTAATTTGACCCATCAGCAATCCTGTTACATGGACTATATAATATTCAAAATTTCAAGCTATTACGAACTTTCTATCGAGGGCTCTGATTGGCTTTATTCGCTTATGTAATCCAACCAAATCGCTGCATTTAATAATAGCTTGACATTGTGAAAAGGCGGTGTATGTACTGGCGTTTCTACGGGAAAAGAGGCTGACCCGACTTTGCCCCCCACCCCCTTTCAAATTTGTCTTCATTTTACATAGTGAAAGAATGGCCTATGATCCCCTGAAAAGTTTTGTAGCACCTGCTCGCCCCCCTCGCCTGATTTTTCATAAGAACGCCCCTGAGTTTATGATTAAATGCTTTTTCTAAGTAGCCTCCATTTCCACCCTCCTACCCCCTCTAACATATAAATTATTGTATCACTTATACTTAATGATAACAGAACTGTACCTTTTCATCTATGTATGGTTTTACATGAAGTTATATACCCCAGGGAGTTGAATATTAACTTCGTTGTCGTCATTTCCGTTTGTACTTCTATATTTCATTGATGGCGACCGGAAGTCGGATTTTTATTTCGAACGGTATAATGGATAACTGAAAATAACATAATTGTACGATTGTATCCATAACGCCTCTACTCGGCCACAGTCTTAGAGGTAATCTCTTAGAAGAGCAATGACTGCTAGTGTTATGTCTTTAAGTAACAGTTAGTTTAAAGGGACTTAAAAGGACGCCATTTTTGGGGGGGGGGTGATTTTTTAATATATATAAATGGTCTTCAGATGTACTAGAAATATACATCACATGATTCCTTTAAAAATACTTCAAACTAGGATTTTACTTACTTTTTCTATATATGTCTTCTATTGACGAGTCGTCAATTTAACATTCAATCGCAGATAATTCTGGATATACATGGATTTGAAAACTCAAATTTCGATGGTGAGCTGTGAACACTATTACTGATTAGCTCAGATGAAATAATTCCAATTCTGAGATTAAAGTATATGATTGGTCAAAAAAAAAATGGCCTACCTGTCCCTTTAAACAAACCCAGTTTATTTTTTGTTTTATAATATCCTGGTTTGATCAAGGAAATCTAGATAAAGTATTAATTTTCAGGATAGTGTTATAGACCAGGAATTCAAGGAGAATTATTGAGAGTTATTTAATAGTCAGGTGTGTACATTCTTCTCGGAGTACCTACATGTTTGATTCACCTGTTGGCTACAGTGTAAATTGTTGAAACGTTGTGTACAATAAAACTCAGGAGTAGTATACCATATAGACTGATGATGACAATGTAAATTGTTGAAACGTTGTGTACAATAAAACCAAGGAGTAGTATACCATATAAACTGATGGAAATGTAAATTGTTGAAACGTTGTGTACAATGCAAACTGATGATTACAGTGTAAATCGTTGAAACGTTGTGCTACATATAAACCGTTGCAAACAATGTATATCTTCAAACCACAAGTTATAAGATGTAGTCTATAAGGACAATTTTAAAATATCTTATTATGGGTTAGTATAGATTTGTTTTATTTTTGATCTTTTTAGCAATTCACAAGATTAATGAGTTGTTTGTCGAAATGTGAATATTTTTCCTTGCAGACTAATCAGAAATTAAAGGGATTGTAAAGAATTTTTTTTTAATTTTCCAATTTTCAATCAGACGTCTTTGGTTCCGGCAGTTTCACCAAATCTAAGTATTTGATGACGTCACTAATCACAAAATATGCTTTAACACATTAAGCCATTCGCGATTAGTGACGTCATCATAAACTTAGATTTATATGAATTGCAGGAACAACTTATTAAAAACCGGAATAGTTCAAATTGATGCTATCAGTGTCCTAGACACACTTAAGAATTTAGAAAACCTTTAACAGTCCTTTTTAGTTGGATAATTAAACCAAAATTCTAAATCTACCTATTTTACCTATTAACCTATAACTAAAGATATCCTCAATCCCTTATCTTTGTGTTTATATTTCAGAATTAAACAGTGTATTCTGGAATTATTGTCTGGGTTTGATATCGATAGTATTGTTACTGATTGTTATGATACAGTGTATATTACTGTAAGTACATGTCCCAACCCCCAGTTCCAGTAAAGCTGAATCTGACTCGTTAATGAAAAGAGAATTTCGTTGTGTGTTCTTGGGCGAAACTCTTTACTTCCATGTAATAGTAATGTTGCGATCTAAATGTAGTCTTTGGGAGTTAAATTTGTTACTTACCTATACATTTAATGCTATATTATCGTGACTATTGATTACCCAATCATACATTTTATTGTCAATTTGAATCCATATCTAACTGGTGTTTTGTTTTCATTGTGTTTGTTTACAAATATGTATTTGTATTTAGGCCTATATTTATATCAATATTTTCCAGTGATCACGTGATTCTGGTAATTTAAATATCTGAGGCTGCATGGTCGTTCAGGACTACACATGTAAATTACCAGAATCACGTGATCACTGGAAAATATTGATATAGTTCCAGTGAATAATGATCTCCATTCATTAACGTGCTGTATCGCAGAAGGATTAGCATAATTTTCACGGAAGGCCGTTTGGAACGCCCAATTACTGTTCGGAAGCAATGTACGTCATGATAGTTCCAAACGTCCATTTTCAATTACAATTTTTTTTTCAGAATTTGTTGTCGAAAAAGGACATCGAGGATATCGTCAGAAGTCAAAAAGCTACAATTAGATATTGAATCTGGACTGGGAGAAAAGGAGTCGAAACAACGAGAAATGGACGTTTTGAAAATCGCGCGCAAACAAGGGACACCACTCCCCACACCAAAGGGAGATAACCTAGAGAATCTTTACGAAACTATTAAACCGAAAGAGAACACACTGCTCGCCGTCAGAGATTCTCTAAGTGTTAGATTAAAAGATAAAATTATGAATCGAAAAGGCAGAAATAAGATTGTCACTTTCAGTGAAGAACAGTTTGAAATCATCACTGATTCGTTAGAACAAATAGCATCAGAGGGACTCGAAGAATCACCGATGCCCATGTCGGATATTTTAGAAACTGACGAATTTGCGACGAATCTTCCGTCAACTTCAGGAAACAAAGTCGAGTCTACCTACATAGTCATGCATGGAAGTCAAAAAACCAGAGCAGAGGTGAACCTTCAGACGTCTGGGCAACCAAGAGAAACGAGTCACGTGTATGCAAAATGCCAGAAGCCGCCGCCGCTCCCATGTAGCAGACGTGCCAAGTTGAACCCTCAAGGCACGGTGGAGAACAAGAATGTATCAAAGGAACCAGTATCGTCGAACAGCCCAGATGCTAAAAGTAAAAATCAAGACAAAACGGCAACTGGTGATGGAATTTTGCACACGGATGGCGAAGATGAGTTTGACGAAGATGAAATGTACAATAAAGAAATTGAGAACTATTTGAGTACAGACAAACTTGGTTCACTTCGAAGCTCAAATGTCCAGAAAGAATGGTCGGATCCGAATTTCATGGACCGACACAGCACACCGATTCTGCCGAAAAAAATGAGTTTAAAATCCAAATCCAAAGAAGATGTTCATAACGAATCCGGACACGATGCGACGTCTCTTGAATCGTACGACGTTCTCCCAATTCCGAGACCAGTAACGACTATTTTGAGGTCCGGAAACGAACTGGTTCCACCGACACCGTACTGTGGTCGCAAATTTTTATACAACAGTCCATCGCCAACGCCGTCGAGAAAGAGTAACATTTCCGAAAAGAGTATTTCAAATAAAAAGCCGCAAAAATCAAAAATGGCGAAAAAACTGAAAAAAATGGAGGATTTGATCAACAAAAGTTTAAGGTGGAAATCAAAATCGAAACAGGACGAGGAATTCGGTCCAACAAAGGGAATTGGGTCGTTGGTTCAAAACAGCTTTTACAGTCCCACGGGTTCGAATCCGATATTGGGAAAAATTCCATCTGAAGAAAGGAAACCATCCCTGTCAGACATCAACCGCCTTCAGGAACGTCTGAACATGACCAATACGTCATCAGACAGGCTTAGTAGCGCCAGTTCCATAGCAACGCCGCCAATTCTGAGACGGACTTCCAATGTAAGTCAAGCTAATAATGATGAGTGAAACATCAAACGAGAGATGCGTTCAAAGACGACGTAGCTCTAAATAAATTTGAAGAGTGAATAAGTGATAAACCAATTCATGAAAAGGAAAAGGCTAAATACATCGTCGTCTCTTCAACAAATCCAAAACTTACATTTCTTCCGCATTTCACTTTAGCAGTTTACACTCTTAATTTGGATCAAGATAATAAATAATCAAACAATCAATCAATCAACACGCGTGCGCATAGCCACTTTTACGTTTCGCTTTGTAAATATACACACACTCTCGTTAATATTACATCAGTACGGGCAAAAAGGTCGTTTTGATTGTTTAAAAGTTCACCCCACATACAATTTAGATATAGAGAAGCACGGTCCCCCCCATTTATTGGTAAAGTTGTGTGATTTGAACAAAGACATTGTCACATTTTAAGTAAAGTATTGAATAAAGTTTGACTGAAGAGAATGTATGAATTTTGAATTGATGAATAAGATAAGATTTATTGTATATATACGGGTACATGTATATGAAAAGTAACACAATGAAGCATAAAAGTTAAAAAATAAAATATTATAATTAGAAGCATTGAAAAGATAATTATTATAAGGTTAAAATTAATATCACTCTGAGGAGTTTATGTATTACAAAAACCATGTATTTAAAACAATGCGATGACATTTGTTATATAAAAATAGTATACATAAAATGAAGAAATTGATAGTATTATTTCAGGTGAATTGAGGTTGATTATAACTAAATTAAAAGGAGTGTTATTCAATGATTCTGTGAATCGGACAAATTTTCATTCAATTTGCTACATGCTCTATGTTCTTTATGTTCACCCCCCTCAAGGGAGAGAACCGTTGATTCTTTCAGCTGCAACTTGGTTAAATTCAATATAAATCTGCCACAAGTCATTACAACACACATAGAGTAAAGTTTGAGTGTGAATAGGGCCTAATAAAAATATCACGCTAATGAAATTGGACTAATTTGTCTGTGGTTGAATTGAAGGATTTTCTTTGTAAAGACTTTATTGATCAGGTTTGTTTAAAAGGGGCTTTATATCTATTATGTGGGATATAATAGGCGACATGAATATAGTTATATTTGTATATTCGTTCAATTAGTCCTAGTACAAAACGATATATATGGGAGAAACTCTAAAGTCACACTGCACCTCACTAGGTAGCCTTCGATTGTTTATCTTCACAATCTCAAGCTATTGCGACCTTCTGCATATACTTTGACTGCAATAGCAACTATTCTTGTATCAGGTAAGTTTGTAAATGCGGTTCTTTGGTTGGTATGTACGCCAGAAAATACAGCCGATCAGAGGCCTCTACAAAAAGTCTGTAAACACTAAGGCACAATGTTGAAAATCTTTCTTTCCAGGGCTATGATTGGCTGTATTCCCTTGGGTACAATCCAATCAAATCGCTCAAATCTGTGATACAAGAATGAGCGCTATTGCAGTCAAGGTATAAGCAAAAGGTCGTAATAGCTTGAGATTGTGAAGATGACGCCTGGTAAGATTCTTTCATTATAGGGGTATGGAGATTTGATAGCCAGTTTCTTTTCAGAGGAAGTAAGTATAAAAATATAGGTTGTTGCCTTTTCATTTGGATTCAAGTCCGTTCAAAGTAGCGACAGTAAAGTGTGGCCCAGCCTTCACGGGACTAGGTAAAACGTAGGCCTACTCAGAATCTTGCTATTGATAACGAAAATGAGAAAAAAAGGCTTATATAAAGATTATGTATATCAAAGATGAATGTGTTTAATGGTGCAGCTTTTCGTTCATTCATCGCCAGTGTAAACAAGGCTTTAGAGACAAATGAGAATAGGAATGATAACCTATGTTTTAACATTTTGATTACAATTCAAATTAAAAAGACGTCCTAATAATCAAACAAAGTATGGTTTAGAATCAAGTGATCAGCGATAGTGTAAACAAGGCCTAAAGGCATATTCGAAAATAGAAGATAACTGATAACTTTCAACATTTTTATATCAATGTGATAAATATGGCCGCACAAAATACATTTGTTCGTAAACAAAAATCTAATTTTCGAACGAAAAATGTCTAAATTTAGTGTAAACAAGGCTTGAGAGTTGTAAGTGAACAAGGATGATTAGCTATTTTATTTTTTGATAAAAATTATCACCTAAAATTCACGATAGTAAAACACTTTTTGGTAATCGAATTAAATATTGTTTGATGATCAACGCTAGTGTAAACACGACCTAAGAGTTTTATTTGAATACAATTATTTAGTAATGCTTTAACATTTTCATTTCAATGCGAAAAAAATATTATTTAGATATTACATGCATACACGATTGTAAAAAAAATCTTAGTCATCGAACGTTGTATAGTTTGAATGAAGTGAACTACACCAGTGTAAACACGGCCTAAGAGTTGTATTTTATTACAATTATCAAGCTATGTTTTTATGTTTTTATTTCAATGCGATGAAAAATATTACCTAGATATTACCTACATACACGATTGTAAAAAAAATCTTAGTAATCGAACGTTGTATAGTTTGAATCAAGTGATCAATGCCAGTGTAAACACGGCCTAAGTATTGTATTTGAATAAGAATAATAGGGTATGTTTAGTAAATTAACTTTCTAGAGTATGTTGGTAGGGTAGAATTTCTACAACACTGAATATATACAGTAGCTCACTGGGACAGGGCGGTAACTAAACCTGAGCTCGTTGATGACCACAGGATCGGGTTCCTTTATTAGCCCGTTGATCATCGTCAAAAAGATGGAGTTTCTATATCGGATACAATAACTTAACCAATATATAACTCAGCATAACAAAAATCGAATTGGAATAAATTGTTGTAAAAATGGAAGAACTGACAACAATGTGATACAAAATGAACCAAAGGGTATTATATTGCTGACGTATTTTAAAGGTTCGTATCGTTGTTTTTACCGTTATTATTGTTCATTTCTTCCAATCAAATTATCAGTTAATAATCAAACGACAAGCTGTTCAGACACTGGAAAATACATCATTGTTAGAGGCACACCAGGAGGGTTACTGAAATAGGTTCAAATTTTCATTTGAAACAATTTTGAATCGAGGGCAGATTGTAGCGCATTCATTAGAGCCCCTATTCCCAATCTGGGGGTTCTGGACTAGGGTACCAGGGGTGCGGCCAACTGGTGTAGGAGAAGAATCTATTTTGAATTGAGAGAGCACCTCACATTATCACGTGCTGAAAATATGGATGAAATAAATTTTTGGGGTGTGAAAGGTCCAGGTGATTGTTCCAGGGGTGTGAAGGCTGAGAAAGGTTGGGAAACACTGCATTAGATTATAAGAAGCTTCATATGACGTCACTTGCCGACGTCGATTAAAGATGGTCTTGGATTTAATCGCTGTCGGTGTTTGAACAAGTCATTATTCCCGTCGACCAAGTACCAGCTGGTAGACAGGGTCTTCATGAAATCCCAAGTTGTTATTATTGTAAAAGCATGGCCAATAGTTTTAGTATCAGCTGATAGAGCTTGGGTAGCACTGATAGCAGGTGTCGCTTTAAGTCAACGGGGGAATAACTTTGTTTATTTTAGACTGAAGACATTCGTGGATGTAGGCATTAGTGGACGCCGCCCTGATAGACAGGACCCTTGTGAACCTAATTTATTTTATCATTGTAAAAGACGATTTTTTATCCTTGTTGTTTGTCAGTAGAATGTGAACCCAGCTGTGTTGTCTGTAAACTAAATTGTGTAGTTATCTGTGGTCTGAAGCCAGATTGTTGAGTTTTAGGGGTTGAAAGGTTAATAAACTTTCTTATAATTCATAATGTATATTGTACCACATTGTATGACATTGTATTCTGCTATATTGTGCTATATTGTGCTGTATTATAATATATTGTATCAGTTTGTATTACTTTATATTTCATACAGACCAGGGGAATGTCTCATGGACAAACGTTTTGTTAAAATAACAAAGGGACTGTTTCAATAGTCGAAATAGAGTTCGTCTCACTTATAATCAGTTATATTGTTCTGTGTAATTTATGTGTATATTATGCCACTGTTGATTTTTATTATGCATTTTTTAATTTTCATACTTTTTTTCGTTCTTGTACTTCGTGTGTATTTTCAGAAGAAAATTAGTTGATTTGGATTAAGTAATTGAAATTTTGATAAACGACAGAAAAATGTCCAAATTGAAAATATATTTACTATAAAAAGAATTGAAATTAGTTTATACGGTGGTTTGTTTAAGACATCTTTAATATTTTCAATTGATTAATTGATTTATCATTTTTGTTTGCTGAATATAAAAAATAGTAAACAAAAATGATAAATCAGCAAACAAAAATGGAAAATAAGTAGAATTTAATCATAATTAAAAAAAAAACATGCCTTAAACAAACCACCGTAGAGAGGTAACATTGGACAAATACATTTGAATATCCTAATATTTTGATATTATAATATAATTTCTCATCAAATATCAACCTGACTAGTAATATTGTTATAGTTGAGTTAGAAATGTCGTTTTATTATCGTGATATTTGTAATCTTTTCCTGACAGATTCAAGTGTTAAATTGATAAATTTTAAACACCAAGATGATAACACATGCCGTGTGAAGGAAATATCTCGGATACTATTGAAGGGTAATTAATTATGTGTTTTGTTTTGATATTCAGACTTTCATTTAGGATAATCTTGAAGCTCATAAATATTAATATTTAGTTGTTAGTTACTGGGTACGAAGTTAGGTTTCTCGTTGTTTAGGATAGTGTTATAGGACAAAGATACATTGTGCGCATCCAATGATGTAAGATTCAGAATATAAACACGAGGTTTTCTGATTCAAATGAGGTAGAATGTTGATTGAATTGAAAAACCGTCAAATGTTTTGACGTACTATTTCTATGAACATAATACAGTGACTAAGTTATTGGGAAAAAATTCACACTGTGACCTAATTAGATTATTGGGACAAAATTACCAAAAGCAAATTATTCTGGGATTCCTCATTGTGACCAATTTACCATATATAACGAAATAATTGGGGCCAAACTGGCTTTTGAATCAAAGTGACCTCCTAGTGGCTTCTTCTGAGGCAATTATTACTTAATTTACCTATAAAAAGCGGACTGATCTTGTTTTTGTTCCCACCAGGATGTGTAAAAGTAAGAGTTGATGATTTTCTACTTTCAGATAGTCGATATACAAGATGAATTCATTGTTCGCAACACCTGCCGTAGCCGCAGATGCCGCCGCAGACGCAGCAATCGGAAATATTCGGAAACAAAAGGAGCTGGAGATGGAGTTGGTAGAAATAGACAAACAATGGCTGTGTGCTAGGAAACAAATTATATACGATAGACTCGATATTCTTAAAGAACTAGACAGGATAGCCCGAGTGAAGGTTCATAGAGACTATTTCAAAGATCATCTTCGTAAAGCAAATCTCCATCATTATACGACTAAGGCTCGGTCGAGAATGCGACAACAGCAGTATACGAGGAGTCATGACAATTTTAGTTTTACCGTCGACCCTCTACGGAGGGGTGTGGTCCCTGAGCCAATGATTATGGAGGGGAGCGAAAAAGAGGGCAGGGAAATCATTACTTCGACCAGTCAGGACAAAAAGCGAGCGAAACATATCCGAGGACTGTCTGAATTGGAGGTGAAAATAAGACGATTTCGAATCCCGAAAACCAAAAAGAAGAAGAAAGCCGAGGTTGTACTTCCACCATTACCAGATAAAATCAAACGGTTAAAGAAGGTGAGGATTGTGGAGTTTGATGAGATACCGGAAGAGGTGAACTCGTCTGATGAAGAGGACGAGAACCGAGAGAGTCAGGCCACCTCCATCTCCATCACTCACCATGGACACGAGACGGATCAGGAATCTTTTGAGCGAACCAGTCTATTCACCATTCCTGGCGAGAAAGTTCCGTTTGCCCGCGCTTTCATTCCCTTACCGACGTTGCCGCTCACCCCGGAACCATCTTTTGTTGAAGACGAATCTAATCTTCAACTCCCTCAATCCCCATCTCAGATTACAGCCCGGCTTCTGTCACCCCTTCCATTATCTAGACCACACCGTCCCAAGTCACCCAGACCAAGATCACCGAATCCACCTCGTTCACCAAGAGCCAAATCACCAAACCCTTCACGATCCAGAGCAAAATCACCGAACCCTCCAAGATCACCGTCTGCCAAATCACCAGAAAATTTAACGTCTGCACAAAATTCAGTGTGGAAATTTCCAGAAGTTCATCACAACGCTAACAAGAATACTCAAAAAAATTTCGAATCCTACGAAGGAGTTCAGTTCGTTTTACCGCCAATTTCCACCACTTCAGACGAGCCGACTTCAATCTTGAAAAAGCCGAAAAAGAAAGGCGGGAAAAAGAATAAAACCAAACGTCAATTAGATGTCGAATCGTCTCACCCGAACCCTACAACTGCTGTGGAACTTGAAAACCAAAAATCAAAACCGTATGAACAAACGCACCCTGGCACTGTAGACATAGTCGTAAGTGAACCACGAACTGAACAAGCCCCACCCCCTAAACCGGTAAAGACTGAGAGCTCTTTGCTCTTACCGGAAATAGATGATTCGCCATTAGTTGCTCAAAACCAAGAACTCAGACCACAAGTTCTCACTAAAAAACATAAAGGATTTTCTAATTTGTCAAAATCTCCAAATACGACGAAACGAAAAAATCGGAAACTGTCGACTGTGACTGAAGAATATTCATAATTCTTGTAAATGTGTTTGTTTTTGTTCATTGATCTTGGACCAATTTTACAGTTAACTTGAATTTCGTGTTCCAGGCATTATGAATTTTTAATTTGTTGTACTAATCGGATAACTGTATTCCACAAAACTATGATTTTGTGTCATAATGGTTTACCGTAGATACGTGAAGCGCTATTATTGTAACAAACTGGTTATGGACATCATGAGATTGGACTGTAATTGACTCATTGGAATCCAATATATATGTTTTTTGAACAAAAATGCAATCCAGTTTTCCCGTAAAATATTTCTAGATAACAGGATAGTCCAGATTTTTGTTACAGTTTTCCCTTCAATAAGTGTTTTCGTCCAAATTATTAACACAGCTATCATATTTATTTATCATTAATTATTATAAATTGGTACTTTTCGAATCGGGTGGCGTCAAGGAATCATAATCATTCTGTTGTTCGACTGCAGTCGATTGATGTTCATTTAGATGGTTGTAGCCGTCATCACTTAATGTTTCACTCATGACGTCACTAGTTTCTGTGCTGAACGTCTCTGCTTCCAGATCAAAATAATCATTGTGTGACGTAGGATTAGATGACGTCGAATTTAAGGACGTTCGATTTGCTAACGGCGTTTGTGATGACGTCGAATTCACCTTAGTTACAGAATTTAACGAATGAACGGTTCGCTTTTTATTTGGTATGGCGTATACTATTTCACTGTGACGTCTGACGTCATCGATTTGTGAGTAGAGACATTGCGGATCAGTGGAACTTTCTGATAACGTGGACTGAATGTTTGAATGTATGCTGGAATGTCTGAAGTTATCAGGATCTTTGACGTGATACACGTGATCTGCCGACTTGTCACCATCCTCGATTTGGAATATTTCCGACATTTCTGCTTCTCGTTTAGTTCGTCGTCTGAAATCAAACACAAGTTTATTTATATTTTGTTCATTAAATGGTAAATGAAGGATCTGTATTTTATTTTTCAATTCTCATATTGAACTATCTGTATGGAGAAGGAGCAACACATTTATTACAATTGCAACCACTGACCAAATCCCCACCCCCTCGTATCATTTGCAGCCAGTGTTAGGAAATGTTAGTATCTCCTGTAATCAAGATATTTCGACTTTCGAAATGCGCTTTCGATAATTTTCTCACTACTTTAATCATTCATACTATGCAACGTTACAAACATTATAACAAATAATTAATATATAAATTATAATTATAAAAAAATGATTGTTGTTCCATAATGCTATGTCAGTATATTCTATATTCGTATCTAATGGTTTCAGCTGATAGAGTTATGAATGCAATATTTTACAGATAAAATACCGGACTCACCTGACGTAACAATATAAAGCTGATATAAAAACAATTAAAACAACACAACCACCAAATAATCCCCCCGCCATCATTATCCTGCTATCTGAAATAGTCAAATCTCGATATTATATTTAACTGGATAACATTTTCTGAAGTATTCCATATTTTCATATTTTCATTCACTTTAATTATACCTACTAACACTACTTCGATTAATTGTATCGACTTTTATTTGCAAAGACAACAGGATTTTTGCCTCATAGAAAATATACCCTTGTTACGGCCCTGACATCTACTTACTTTAAAAAAAAACCTTTTTCTCACCTTGAAATATACTTCCGTCTTGTTCACTTTCAATTTTCTTATCTTGTTCAATTTCAGCATTTTCTGATTTTGTGTGAACGTCATTATATTCTGTGTTTTCGTTATCATTCTTACCTGAAACGTCACTGCTTTCTGTGTATTTAGTGTTGAAGTCAGAATTTAATATGGCGTCACTTGATGTTGTGTTAACGTCATCAAACGTTGATGTTACGTCATAAAATTGTTCTGTATTTGAAACACTGGCATTTATATCAATAGTTTGTCTAACAATGGTAACAGACGTAAAATCTGAACTCACATCTGTTGGTGGTGTGAATATTGACGAGGAATGACCGTTTGAGCGAGATTCATTCCTTGTAGACGAATCAGTAAACGTCGTAGTTGATATCGCGTCAGTATCCCCTACAGTCGGACTAGTCGTCCCTGATACAGGTTGAGTATAAACCATTCTAGTACTGGATATACTGGAAACCAAACGATCAAGATGTTGACCTGCTGGATGGGAACTGGTAGTTTCTATATTCTTTGGAACTGAAACGAATAAATGGCATGTTATAATTATAAATATATAGGTCGGCCATGCATTTCATAATTTGCAAGAAGACTACGCACAACAAGCAGAGAGTTTCTGTCCCCGTCGTTATGTTTTACAAAGTAAAAGTCTCTCTAATGGCCTGGTCTATTACAAACACTATCTGCTAACATATATGTTTTTCAACGAGGTATATACTTTTACCTACCAGTAGTTGGTGATGTACTGGTTTCAGGTTCAATAACTTGTGATACATAACTACATGATAGAGTTACCTCCCCGTTCAAACCTACAAAATAATCAGATCAATCAAACTTTATGTTTTGAAATATTCAGCTGTATAATAAATATATCTATTTAACTGGTGTATTAGGAAAATATCAAAAACTGAACGACAAATACTTTTGCATTTAAAAATTTGAATTCAGCGATTACAGGCTATACTAATAAATATGCATCTACGAATAGTCAGAAAGAGGGAAAAAGAAAGGGATTCAAAACAGATTTTAGCTTATGATTTCTCGTCTGATGTTTTTGGTTCGTGTAGTTCTCAAAACATCGGAACACATTGAGCAGATTATGAAGCATTTACTACTAAGGGCTTGAATCATTTTTTGAGATGGCGTCATGATTTGTTCAATGTTATCGGAAATTACATGAATCATAGACGTTTAAACTGGAAATTTGAATGATAACGTACCTCTGAAGCCGAACCAGATATTGGTTGGTTTTGTTTTTTTGTTGAGAGTGACTTTAGCTCGTAATGGAGTCGAAGTTCTCAAAATATATTCGAAGGAATGGTAGAACTTTCTCGAGCTGCAGGACATTTCTCGTAAGACTTCACCATCTTTGATAAAACTGACAGTACTACATCCTGGTTCTATTGTCTTATTCAGACGAATATCCAGAGCAAAAATGTCGATATCCACTTTACTTCCGTTTCTCGACAGCACGAGACACTGGCAGTCAACAACGTCAGCCATTTTTGAAAGAATCTTGTCACGATAGATGACGTAAACCTGGTCGCCAACTATGGTCTTCCGGTCTCCAAGGGTTACCAGCTGATTCTCTGAAATATATTTGTGAAATTTCTTATCACACGAAACTATTGTATCTAACTATCTAGCAAAACAGCGCCATCGTCGCATGCATAACAGTGTGAAATATATAATATAAAATGCATGAATCATATACCCTACTTTGTCTAAGCCGTATTCTCCAAAACTTAGCTCAGATAAAATCCAGATTGTAAGAAATACAGTAATCTGATTGGATAACAAAACAAAATTTAAAATCAATTATAGTGATTGACCAATCAGATGACTGGAACACAATAATATCTGTTTTGAAGAATAAGGTAAAATACAGGATAGAAACCAATCAGACTTATTGCTTACCTTTGACGCAAGTATATTTGACGTCAGAAAACACAGAAATACTTCGATACGTCTGCGTGGAACATTTGGCGGTAAGTCGGGGAGCGTCAAACGAACATTGCGGACGACCAGAACAATTGCTGTACAACTGGTTCAGATCGCCTGGTCGGAAGACAACCCCACAATCGTCTTTCTGCTTGGTGCAACAAGTTTCAGGGTCGACAGTTCTACAGGCAGACACATCTCGACACATTGACCCCAGAGGTTTGAACCCATACACTCCTTGAAATAAACCAATCACTGACGTCTTCTTATCACATGACAGGAAGTGACGTGTACATTCTGGATCAGAGCCGTAGCAGACACTGGAACTTTTTATGGTATACGTCGATGGCACTGAAAAAGGAATTTTGGTGGAATAAATGTACCAGCAATATGGATCATTATGGGGATTTTCTGAAAGTAATGTCAAACAGCGCCACAAGTGGCAACAGGTGATCTAGAAGTGAGTATATATCTCCTGAATGGATAATTTTTTCTATCAATATCAAATACAATTCTTTTTAGAAGGAAGAAATTAAGAAATAAAATTGTAAATAAGCTTTTAAAGGGACAGTTACGCAATTTTATTATTTGACCAATCATACTTTAATCTCAGAAACGGGATTTGTTTTTTAGCTAAGCCAATAAGTAATAGTGTTCACAGCTCACCATCGAAATTGGAGCCTTTTAATCCATATGTGTCCAGAATTATGCGCGTTTGAATGTTAAAATGACGACTCGTCATGGAAAAGACATATATAGAAATATTGAGTAAAATTCCTAGTTTGAAGTATTTTTGAAAGAATTATGTGATTATGTACATTTGTTGTACTTCTGAAGACTATTTACATATATTCAAGACTCAAATCACCCTCCCCCCCTCTCCTCTACACCCAAAATGGCGCACCTGTTCATGTATGAAAAGTTAAATATGAATTGCTCTGGGCTAATGACACCCATGTCATGAAATAATATTAAAAATAATATCTGCAACGTAAGCTTCATATTTTGAAAGGTGTGTCATATTTCTCTGTGGTTTCAAAACATTTACAAAAAGCATTAATCATTGTATTTTATGCTTCATTTCCCTGTTATTAATTACAGATTTTATTGGTTGTGCAGCTGTACATGTCATAAGAAAGGGATGGGTCAATCCTTATTGCTTCCCGTCCCTGAGCAATGCCATATCGAGGCCTTACTGCCTGAAGTTGCTATGTCCAAAAATGTCGTTTTGAGAAATTGGATTTTATATTTTGATAAAACATAACTATTTCTGGAAAAAAATAAAAAATTATGGACATAACTTTTAAAATTCTATATTTGAATTAAACAAACACAAATAGATTTAAACAGAAACGAACGTCTCTTTTGTCACTTTTTACTGATTGAAATCTATCTTGAAAGAATGTCGATATTAGTCATTTCTGTTATAAATTTTAAAGGATAAATATATACGACTGGGTCTAGTCAATTCATTAGCCCTTTCGGAGAATTTACAAGCTTTATAGCTTAAACTTTTCGCAACAGAAGCTCAATATACATGTCTAAAAGATATAAATATTCCATAGTAGGCTTACAACATGATATCGGTATGAAACAGGGTGCCATTACTAGCCCCATCTTATGTATGTCTTTAGTGAATGATATAGTGATACATTATTTAACAGAGCAGAACTTGGAATCTAGAAGTTATAGAATCATAAACTCTGAACTCTGATTCATGATATTACAGTGGAAATGAATGAATGATTGGATGAATGAATGAATGAATGAATGAATGAGTGAGTGAGTGAGTGAGTGAGTGAGTGAGTGAGTGAGTGAGTGAGTGAGTGAATGAATGAATGAATGAATGAATGAATGAATGAATGAATGAATGAATGAATGAATGAATGAATGAATGAATGAATGAATTTTCATAACCAGTCTTAGTCTTATTTGCATCTCGAATGAACAATATAGTGTCAAACCATTGAACAAAGTAAACTTAAAACTAAGATTGATTGATGTACAATATTATAATGTACATGTATTTCTATTTTCATTTACACCTTTCATGAACTTTGTGATGACAAATCGTTTATCTGTACATATTATTTCAAATCAAACGTTTTAAATGAATTGTAGAGAGGTTTTCTAAACTTTTTATGTGTATCAGGGACACTGATAGCATCGATTTCCACCATTCCAATGTTTAATCAGATGTCTGTGGTTCTTGTATCCATGATCTAGTATGATATCATCAATACAGCGTTAGTCATATTTCTTTTCCTGATTTTCTTTATTAAAATTTCTTATAGAACAGTGTTTCAGTGGTCGTTAAAAAAACTTACCCTGTGATGCAGAATTTACTGAAAATATCACGAAGCCAAATACGGCGACGAAAATTTCTGTTTCCATGTTAAAAACAATTGATTGTCTTTTTAATATTCTTCTTTCACTAAAAATTTCTAAATATTACCATGAAACAACAACTATCTGTCAAACATCAAATTTCCAAGAAAAAAAAAGTTCCATTTGTTTTGGGTGACAAAATTTTTACAAACACATCAGCACCAATTAAACAATGTCTTTTCACAGAAAGAAAACTTTACCAAACATATCCAAAAAATCATTAAAATCCGCAGAAAGTTCACAAAATTGCAATAAATCTTTCCAACAGCTCCACAAAAGACTTGAGAATCTTCAGAATCTTCAGAATCAAGTCCACAGAACTAATATACAGTTTTAATATAAATACACGCTGTTAGATTCTCAACTTTCCAATAAAACCTGTCTATTATTAAGACAAGTGTTAAAACTTAAAAGTCACTTAGACGTTTCCCATCAATCGTCTTAAGATTTTAAAACTGATTTTCAGATCAGTACAAATCTTCTCCACTCCTCATCTTCACTGTATTTTTTAATCAGAGTTACCGTTCTTGTACGACAACATACACAAGCCGGTACAGGTTATTTTTTAAAGTGAGTATTATAATATATGCAGTCACTCCTGCGTTAGTTTCTAATCTCGTAACAATGACAAATATATATATCTTTTACTATTGTTTATTCAATGATATACGAGAAAGTACTACCTAGTTCTCCATTCTCAACTTATCTCGTACAATAATAAAACTCGACAACACAATCTTTTAGAAGTTGAATGAAAGGCAGTTTAAGATTAACCTTGCACAAGTTGATTCTGAGAGCCAAAATTTCAACGACCTTGCACCCGGCAGATTTGGAGAACAAAAGGAATTTCAACGACTCCTGGCAACTGGTGATATTTGGGAGAGTCTGATCTTAGCTAGATTTATTTAGCCTGTTCCCATCGACGACTGACCCTTCTACTCTCTACCTACATGATTTGGGTGTGCGACATTCTAGTTGAACACAGTTGTCGATACGAGATTACATGTCTAGCCGACCGTGTCCACAATCTGATTAAAACTTGATTACAATTTCGTTTTTTTGCTTTCTGGTATATTTAGTCTGCATAGTAATCTAACAAGTTTTCTACCAAAGACTTGTTCCAAAGATGTTATCTTTAACCAATCCAAGCGTGTCATTTAGACCCGTTTCTTGATAAAATAAGGGATTGTGGGATATAGGAAACTAAATTAGAGCAATTTGACAACTTCTTAGAGTTTCACTGTCCAATAGTTCCTTATTTGTTAATGAGCTTCCTTCTGAGATTAATGATTGTGTTTTGAACTGGGTCTGAAGAACGTCATTTGTACATCGGTAAAATTCCCAGAAATTGCTCTCTGATGACCTTGTCCGTTTTATTAGTCTAAACTGAAGCAGTAAATTGAGATAAAATCTAACATAAAAATGATTTGCTATGCCTCCTGGTGACGTATTCTCGAAACGATCTTAGAGGATAAGAACCTCGGACATCCTAGCGCTAAGATCGTTTCGATCGTGGCCTGGGTATTCATACACTTGTTTTTATAACACACTATCAGATATGATGACAATCTAGTACTGTGCAGGAAATTCCCCTAATCTACCTTTTTATTGTACCATCCGACTATACAGGCTTCTCCAACTGACATCGTGTCCAAACCACACCCCCACTCGTCATGCAGGGATTGAACCCTGGACCTTGAGGCAAGTGAGCAGCCATCTAACTCACTGAGCCACCGCGGCTCCCTTAGGTTATATACAGTTACATAGATGATTTAATACTTTTCTAGACCATGATAGTGTTATTTCATTAAACTGTAGATCTAGATGTTTAGTGTTTTTGGGATTACTACAGAAGTTAGGATAAGGATAAAGGTTGATTTCTCCTCATCGCACCTCTGATGTCTCGTACCGACCTGATTGTATTTCGAGTTTAATTATGATTTAACTTACCTGTCAGGTAAAGACAATAGAGTCACGTGACTAATAGACGTGCCACACGGAAGTATAGGCTACTTAATCTATTACCCCAAAATCAACATGGCAGTCTTTTCTTGTCGGTTGGTTCTATTTTAAAATTCGAGGTTGGTTTGTCAGTTTGAGAACATCAAAACGTGAAATTTGACTTGGCGATGAGATGTTGTTCAAGGTGAAAGCTAGATTGAATTTTAATTATCGTTTGGCTAATTAAATCAGCTGATGACCCTGGTGACAGTGGCGGCGTTAGCCTCCTGGAACTAGGGGTACAAATACAGGGCAGACTGTTCTAATGATGGGACGGCGCTAGCCTCCTGGAACTAGGGGTACAAATAGGGAGCAGACTGTTCTAATGATGGGACGGAGCTAGCCTCCTGGAACCGGGGGTACAAATACAGAACAGACTGTTCTAATGATGGGACGGAGCTAGCCTCCTGGAACTAGGGGTACAAATAGGGAGCAGACTGTTGTAATGATAGGACGGCGCTAGCCTCCTGGAACTAGGGGTACAAATAGGGAGCAGACTGTTCTAATGATGGGACGGCGCTAGCCTCCTGGAACGGGGGGTACAAATACAGAGCAGACTGTTCTAATGATGCGACGGCGCTAGCCTCCTGGAACTAGGGGTACAAATAGGGAGCAGACTGTTCTAATGATAGGACGGCGCTAGCCTCCTGGAACTAGGGGTACAAATAGGGCGCAGACTGTTCTAATGATGGGACGGAGCTAGCCTCCTGGAACTAGGGGTACAAATAGGGAGCAGACTGTTCTAATGATGGGACGGCGCTAGCCTCCTGGAACCGGGGGTACAAATACAGAGCAGACTGTTCCAATGATGGGACGGCGCTAGCCTCCTGGAACCGGGGGTACAAATACGGAGCAGACTGTTCTAATGATAGGACGGCGCTAGCCTCCTGGAACGGGGGGTACAAATACAGAGCAGACTGTTCTAATGATGGGACGGCGCTAGCCTCCTGGAACGGGGGGTACAAATACAGAGCAGACTGTTCTAATGATGGGACGGAGCTAGCCTCCTGGAACGGGGGGTACAAATACAGAGCAGACTGTTCTAATGATAGGACGGCGCTAGCCTCCCGGAACTATGGGTACAAATAGGGAGCAGACTGTTTTAATGATGGGACAGCGCTAGCCTCCTGGAACGGGGGGTACAAATACAGAGCAGACTGTTCTAATGATAGGGCGGCGCTAGCCTCCTGGAACGGGGGGTACAAATACAGAACAGACTGTTCTAATGATGGGACAGCGCTAGCCTCCTGGAACCGGGGGTACAAATACAGAGCAGACTGTTCTAATGATGGGACGACGCTAGACTCCTGGAACCGGGGGTACAAATACAGAACAGACTGTTCTAATGATGGGACAGCGCTAGCCTCCTGGAACCGGGGGTACAAATACAGAGCAGACTGTTCTAATGATAGGACAGCGCTAGCCTCCTGGAACGGGGGGTACAAATACAGAGCAGACTGTTCTAATGATGGGACAGCGCTAGCCTCCTGGAACGGGGGTTACAAATACAGAGCAGACTGTTCTAATGATGGGACAGCGCTAGCCTCCTGGAACGGGGGGTACAAATACAGAGCAGACTGTTCTAGTGATGGGACAGCGCTAGCCTCCTGGAACGGGGGGTACAAATACAGAGCAGACTGTTCTAATGATGGGACGGCGCTAGCCTCCTGGAACCGGGGGTACAAATACAGAGCAGACTGTTCTAATGATGGGAAAGCGCTAGCCTCCTGGAACCGGGGGTACAAATACAAAGCAGACTGTTCTAATGATGGGACGGCGCTAGCCTCCTGGAACGGGGGGTACAAATACAGAGCAGACTGTTCTAATGATGGGAAAGCGCTAGCCTCCTGGAACGGGGGGTACAAATACAGAGCAGACTGTTCTAATGATGGGACGGCGCTAGCCTCCTGGAACGGGGGGTACAAATACAGAGCAGACTGTTCTAATGATGGGAAGGCGCTAGCCTCCTGGAACCGGGGGTACAAATACAAAGCAGACTGTTCTAATGATGGGACAGCGCTAGCCTCGGGGGTACAAATACCAAACAGACTGTTCTAATGATGGGACAGCGCTAGCCTCCTGGAACCGGGGGTACAAATAGGGAGCAGACTGTTCTATTTATGGGGCGGCGCTAGCCTCCTGAAACCGGGGGTACAAATAGGGAGCAGACTGTTCTAATGATGGGACGGCGCTAGCCTCCTGGAACCGGGGGTACAAATACAGAGCAGACTGTTCTAATGATGGGACGGCGCTAGCCTCCTGGAACCGGGGGTACAAATAGGGAGCAGACTGTTCTAATGATGGGACGACGCTAGCCTCCTGGAACGGGGGGTACAAATACAGAGCCGACTGTTCTAATGATGGGACGGCGCTAGCCTCCTGGAACCGGGGGTACAAATAGGGAGCAGACTGTTCTAATGATGGGACGGAGCTAGCCTCCTGGAACGGGTGGTACAAATACAGAGCAGACTGTTCTAATGATGGGACGGAGCTAGCCTTCTGGAACTAGGGGTACAAATACAGAACAGACTGTTCTAATGATAGGACGGCGCTAGCCTCCTGGAACCGGGGTACAAATACAGAGCAGACTGTTCTAATGATGGGACGGCGCTAGCCTCCTGGAACCGGGGTACAAATACAGAGCAGACTGTTCTAATGATGGGACGGCGCTAGCCTCCTGGAACCGGGTGTACAAATACAGAGCAGACTGTTCTAATGATGGGACGGCGCTAGCCTTCTGGAACCGGGGTACAAATACGGAGCAGACTGTCCTAATGATGGGACAACTGTGACCTTGAGTTTCTAAATGCAAAAGCACCAGAAAAATTGTATTTGAAATGTAGTGGGAGTAAAATAATGGGTACAAAATAATATTCTGAGGGAGCGATACCCCTGTACCCTTCCTGATCACCTGATATCACAGTCGGCATCCTTTAGGAACGTCCACTTCAATTTGGTATATTTATGCACAAAGCGTCTAATCGTTAGAGTAGGACAAGGCCTTA